CTGCAGGGCCCATAGTATGTGGGCAGCAGGCTGGCAAGCAGGCTCCTCCAGGAGCTCGTGGCAAACTCACGTGGGAAGGGGAGTTTGTCACAAATATGTACCCTTAGGAAAGGATACTTTATTAAACACAGCTTTTTAAAAAAAAACAAAAAACTAAATATGGGTTATGATCCAAAAAGAGTTGGAGAATGTTTCCAAAACCTGGCTACATTATGCAATACGCCCTTTAATTTACCCTAGGGCAAACAAACTTTTTATTGCAGGAAGCATAACTTGGATATAGATAGGGAACATCTAAGGTTCAGGGAGGGTGGCAGTGTACTAAATTAGTTGAGGTGGGGCAGTGTATTAATTTGAGGGTGGGCAGTGTATTAATTTGAGGGAAGGAGGGGCAGTGTATTAATTTGGGGGAGTGTATTAAGTAGGAGGCAGTGTATTAAAGTGGGGGAGGGGGAGGGAGTGAGGCAGTATATAATAGTGGTGGGTAGGGGGTAGGGCAGTGTATTAAATTGGGGGAAGTAGGAGGCAGTGTATTAGAGTGGTGATGGGGGGCAGTGTATTAGAATGGTGGGAGGGCGCAATGTGCTAAATTGGGTGTGGGGGCAGTGTATTTTAGTGGTTGGAGGGGACAGGGCTGCCACCAGAAATTTTGTGGCTCCTGACAAAGCACAAGGTCTGGGCCCCCTTCCCCTCCACGGCAAGCCCACGACTCCACCCACAGGACTCCTACCTAGTCCACTGACAATGATGCAGGACTGAATGTGGTGTGTATAGTGGAAGTGAATTAGATTGTGTATAATGGATGTAGTGTTTGTGTGTATTAGATACTGTTTGTGCTGTACCTTTGGGAGTGCTGTAGTGGATTTTTCCCTGTGGTCGAGTGGGGATGGCTGCAGCTTGGCGGGCAAGCTTTTGAGGCGGGTGGCAAGAGAGCTTTGATCCTCCTGCCCAGTTCCCTCCCGTCTCTCTTAGTGATGCCGGAGCCGGAGTGACGTTATATTCTGGCTCCGGCATCACTGCGGTGAGCGCAAGGAAGTTGAGCAAGGTAGAACTCAGGGGAGAGTGCTCCCTTGCTGCTTGCAACATCAGTGCATGCCAGCTTGGGGGGCCCTGAGGTGGCCAGCCGGCCAGTTCCTGGTCCCCCCAGGACAAGAGGCTGGCAAGGCATTTGCCAGGGCGATTGGGAGGCGGCTTTTTTTGCCGCCCCCCTGAAAGTGTAGCGAAGGGCAAATGCCTTGTCAGCCTTGCGGTAAATACACCGATGTATGGAGTATGTGTGTGAATGCAGGGGTGTGTTTGTATGAAGTGAATGCAGTTCTGTGTTTGTACTGTTACCATTAGATTGCAGTGGTATAATTTTGTGCAATGTTTGCACTTGAATGCAGGGGTGTGTTTGTATGTGGTGTAGTGTTTGATTCTGGGATATATGCACAAATACACAACATACTTACTGACACACACAAATATACACATAATTTACACATTTTTAGCCAGTGTCTTGCTGCTGAGCTGAGGTCCTGGCTGAGTCTGATGGGTGTCTATGGCTGGTTCTCTCTTCCCCCCTCTTCTTCTTTCTCTTGTCCCACTTGGTGACCGACCTCCCAGCCAGCACCACAGCCGATTTGCTAGTTTGACATGGGCCCAGTCTCTCTGTTAAAAGGCTGCTTCAAGTGACCCACTTGCTGAGAAAACTCAATGTAGACCTCGGGTCCACTGCCAGCATAGGGTCCCCTGTGAAACGCAAAACACCCATTGCCTGGTGGCACTCACAACTTTTGTAACCCTTGGTATTCTGCCACTGACTGGAGCTCCCTTATGTCATTGCTAATGGTTTGACTTCTTACTTGGAGTCCACTGTGTACTGGTCACTTCCTGTACTCATGCCAGAAGCTTCTGTTAAAACCCCTGAGCTAAACACTGCCATGCAGGACCAGCTCATTGGCTAAGATCATCAGCTGTTATCTCAGCTAAGCCAGGGGTAGGCAACCTTCGGCACTCCAGATGTTGTAGACTACATCTCCCCTGATGTTTTGAGAGCATTCTGATGTAGTCCACAACATCTGGAGTGGCCTATCTCTGAAAGCCTTGCACCCCCAGCCTCAGCTCAGCAAAGAGAACTTCAACTCTTACCGAGTCAGTGACCTTGTCCAGTGGAGCTCAGGTAAGTGCGGGGAGGGTGTCAGCGTACTATTGGCACCGTAACCACTACAATGCACTCTAGTAGTTATGACATTTGGTGTGTTACTTCAAATGCTTTGTACAAATTTACAAAAGTTTTATGAAGGGAAGGCTTTCTAACAACTCTGGTGTACAAAATTACCTGGGGGGGGGGGGCAAGGGGGATAAACAGCAGTGCACTGGCACGAGAGTCAGTCAGAGTTTAGGGGCTTGTCACTTGTCACACTTCATGGGAGGGAGAGAGATGAGGGCAGGGAAGAACACAGGTCCAGATGAGAGACATTGGTCGGCTGAATTTCTAACACTGTTCATTGCAGCTTCCAGCTGTTTGGTCCTCTGAAACATAAAGGCTGGGCTGCTGCTAAAAACATGCTGTTGGGCAAAAACAACAACTCCTCCTCACCTTCTACTGATTACTGGTAACTGTGGCCAGTAATATCACAGTGCATGACCACGGGACCTATTTTTATGCCATGCTGAAGATGCAGAAAGTACCCAGCAGTACTGGTTTGTCATTTTTTTTCCACTAGGGGCTAAATCTAAGCTCTGGTTTAGGGCCTGTTGCCGTCTAATTCTGCTGTTTTATTATGCTTGTACACACCAACCTCATTCTCCCATTTCTTCCACTAAATTGCATCCATCGACTCTGTGATTTATCTCCATCTAACCCCAAATCTCCCACTATACTTCAGCAGAGATTAGGGGTCTAGCCGGGACATATTTGTGTATCAGGGAGTATAGGTTGGAGCAGTATTGTGTAGAGATTTGTAAGCAA